TCCTTTATGTGAAGTCCTGGTCGAGGCGTGCATGGCACACGTAGGCGGGCTATTTAACTTTGCCGGTCAATGCGTTCGATCCGACCTCCGGTCTTCTTGACTGTCTTGACACCTGACCCAAGAGGGTGAGGGAGAGAATGCGGTGGATGCAGCGCAAGCCTCCGTCTTGAAGTTATTTTAACAGGGAAAATTTTTTGAAGCCAGCTATAATGAAAGAATCCTCTTTGGCCAAATATATAGATGTGGTTTGCTGTTTTTTTTTAAACAGACCTGTCTATGCGGACTATGTAACAACTTGAAGTTCACTAATCAACAGGCAGGAAACATAGTTAAATTGAGAATACTTACCTGAGCGAAGGAGTGTGCACGTAGCTTTTTAAGCAGATTTAACCGGCATTCTATTCTTGCGAATTACAACTTATGTTTACCCACCGAAACGTTGTACGACCGTGGCCTATCTGTGAAGAGAGAAATTTCGGTCGGTACCTCGGCATCACAACCCGAAGAGTGAATCACGCCCGCGTACGTAGTGCTTGTTGGGTGTGTCAGGGAGACTGAAAGCGACATGTCTATGCGGTGACGCTGAAGGTCCTGAGAGGGGACATTTTCAGACCTACCGGACTGCGCGAATGCGGGACTGTTGCCTTCATTTCAAACTTCTTCCCAAAGAATATAGGAAATAATCTTATAAGAAGCCCAAGTATCGGGCACTCTGTCACACTACAACTTTACCCTGTACCCTTTCTTTTGGTCATTTACCGGCAAATGAAACTGAGATACGAAGGATGAAAACTCCGCGTACATTATAAGGGCATTTCAACACAATCTGTAGGTATGGTAACTTCGAAAATTATGATTAGGCTATACAGGATAACGCTGCTAGGCATAATGATCGCTTTACATACCCCATCTCAAACCTGTATATGTGTTGTTACTGTGGATTCACGACGTTTATTGCGAGTGTTTGATGTCAACTTGTGGCGGCCGAACAATAGAGACACGTCGGATCACGAATGATGTTGGAAGGACTAGACGACAGTCTCAACTCAGACGGGACAACTAACTGGAAAATCCTCTATGGGAGTCTTTGCATCTTAAAAATGGCGAGATCGAGTGATACAGGCATAGGGGACATCGAATGAGGCAGGACAGGTAATTAAAAGGTGTAGATTTAATGTCTACCATAAAAAGTTGAAAAGGATTGCAAGGTGGGTTGCGGTAAAACAAACGTGCGACAGAACGACTTTTCGGAGAGAGGTTGCGGGCTACTCGTCCGCACGTGACCTTGGAGGTACAGTCCATGCAGAATAAAAACGAGAAAATGCCATTTATCGTGGGTTTACATTAAAACAACCTTGGTCGGGACTCTGGTCAGATCTGCGGCTGTTTCAAGCTTCCCTGTATCGGATGTTTTTGGATTCCGTACCAACGTTATTTAAATTACCTCCCTGTTTTAAGGCGGCTATGGCCGCAACTTCAGTGCTGTACGCCATCAAGCGGGCATTCGCAGTTTTCAATAAAGACTGCTCCTCAAAAGTCTTCTTTCCCCAACCATGTCGTGCAACCGTGTAATAACCTTTCCGTGACTATTGTTTTGTCTCAATCTGTGGAGAAATTTAAATGTCGGCTTGACAGACATATGCTGCAGCAACAAGCGGAGTACGTGACTTTGCAACCATAAAACCAGTGACTTATGTGAGTCGATGTTCGCATTCACTTAATGCTGTTATTTCTCCACATTTTTATTTGTTTTCTCGATTTTTTACTTACAAATAGGCAGTTCAAAGGCGTAAGACTAGTTCCCTCAAATACACTGACTAAATAACTATATTATTCCGATTTTACCTGAAAGCGTAGCATATCCCCTACTAGGTTTTCCTAGGCATTACCCATTCTTTTGAAGTACATTTATTATAGTGAACCAGCTGTTGTCGTCAACATGCGAAGTCTTAGTAAGCTCCCTCTATTTCCCATCCGCCGGCCGTTTCCCAACTTCTTTGCCTCTTCGTATGTCTCGGTTAACTGTTTTTACTTGCACATTTTGTCTCAGCCACCTCCGTTGGTCTGCGTCTTCTTCGAACTTTTTATGTTTGTTTTTAAGCACAATAGTTACTCGACTTTATTAACGTAAACTGTGACCGTGCCATACTTTCCCTTCCTACTTCTTAATATTATACATGTCTATATATTGAACCTCGGGAGAATTCGGTTGGGATTCAAAGCAGTGTCAAAATGTTTCTGTGAAAAGCATAAAATAACTTGTGCAACTGAATAGTAAATGTTCTTTCCCAACTTGAGCGATGTCTGAGAATATGATCTGAACGCGCGTTATGCGTATTATCTGCACGCCACTAAAGCATGTCGGTCGAGGTGTCGCCTATCAAAAAGAAAAAACAGAGGAAGTCTAGTGTTGGGGTATGAATCTAATCCGCCGCCTTATTCCTAGACTAAGCATGCGGACGAAGTCTTCGCAGTAAAGCCAGAGCCCACTACACCGTCGCTAGAAACTTCGCAATGGCCCCTATTGTTGAAGGTACCATAGAAGATCTTCCAGTATTACTTTCAGAACGTGCATCTAATGAACATCCGCGAGAGCCATTTTGAGCCCAACACGTGTGGCTTCTCGCCTCTTCATCGTCCTTTAGCGGAGCACATAAAGTATGTTCGCTTCTGAGACTTTCACTTGTAGACACGGTGTAATCAACCTTGACAAGCCTTCCAACCCATCCTCTCACGAGGTTGTTGCATGGGTCAAGAGGGCATTGAACGTAGAAAAAACTGGTCATAGTGGTACACTGGATCCAAAAGTCACAGGCATGTTTGTCTTTTTTATGACCACTCATCTCCTAGGTTGTCTGATCGTTTGCATCGACAGGGCCACGAGATTAGTTAAATCCCAGCAAAATGCTGGGAAGGTTTATATTGCTGTTTTCCGTCTGCATGAATGCATCTCGGACTATAAACGCGTCCAGCAGGTAATGGCCACTCAACCTTATTTCCTTCCCAGACCGTGGAAAAGTTGCGAGGCGCGCTCTTTCAACGCCCTCCTCTCATTGCTGCTGTAAAGAGGCAACTCCGTATCCGAACAATCTACGAGAGCAAACTTCTGGAATATGATGCGGAGAGGGGGCTTGGAGTCGTCAGACTAGATTGTGAAGCCGGAACATATGTTCGCACTCATTGCGTTCACCTCGGTCTTATGTTGGGCTGTGGTGGTGTAATGGAAGAGCTAAGGCGAATCCGCTCGGGAATCCTAACGGAAGAGGACAACCTCGTAACCATGCACGATGTTCTTGATGCGAAATGGCTTCACGAAAACAGAAACGACGAAAAGTATCTAAGAAGGGTGATTATGCCGCTGGAAAAGTTGCTGATAGGGCACAAGAGAATAATGGTGAAGGACTCGACTGTAAGCTTTATTTGATCCCTTGACGCTCCTCGCCCGTAGGTTAGTGCACTGTGCTTCGGCGCCAAGTTAATGCTACCGGGGGTCCTGCGTTACGACAACGGTATCAACGTGAATGACGAGATCGTCCTGATGACTACCAAGGGAGAAGCTATTGCTCTTGGTACGCTTTCTTTAGCTACGCGCTCCCCAGTCCGCCACCAAGCATTCTCTAATAGTTCCTTTTTCTAGCAATCGCCCAGATGACGACTGCTACCATAGCAACCTGCGATCATGGTCTCGTCGCGAAATTAAAGCGTGTTATCATGGATCGCGACCTTTACCCACGTCAGTGGGGTCTTGGTCCCGTGGCCACGGAGCGCAAAAAGATGATCGCCCAGGGTCTTTTGAGCAAATTCGGCAAGCCTATTACCAACGCCACTGAGGCTGCTGCGCCTTCCGCTTCAGACAAAGCACCGGAATCGGCTCAAAAAAAGTAAATGTCCTTCGCGATGTTAATTCTCTTCACGCAGACCTAAGCAGTTGAACGTCGCGGCCGAGACGGATGATTCGGACTCCGATGAACCACCACCGTACGTCCCCCGCTGATTGATTTTCTCCACTTTATGCTCTGGGTTCTCTTTCCCTGCATCCGAGAAATGCCGACTGCATTCTCTACTCAACCCTGCAAGGCACACTGCCAACTTTAAACCGGAACTCGACTTTGCCGAGAACTGCCTGACAGTTTGAGTGCCGTTCACTGCGTACTGTGGACAGCGTACCGCTCGCTAATTAATGGTACGGAACTCCACTCCAGGAAGTCTTAATTAAAAAGTAAAGTTGGCGGTGTTCTCTCTGCAAGTTTGGTCCGACCGCCGACATCGGCAAAGTTCGAACCCCCTTTCATTGGCCAGTTCCCTCTAACAGGGTACTGGGGCCCTCGCTTAAATTCAGGGTTTTCCTGTTACTGATTGCCCCTTGGCGATTCACCAAGTCGAAGTCTGGCACGTTGTGTACGGATAACTCATTTCTTGCCTGTAGCAAATTTACTCGCTGCCGCTGGCATCATCCGATAGGTCTTAGTCGACTTAAACGTTTTCTCTTAAATTTAGACAAAAGAAGAAACCCCCTCCACCGTCGTCCAGCTCTAGCGACGACTCCGATGATGATTGAGTTACGGTAAGCGCATCTTAACTTTTACAATACGTATCCGCTCTAGCAATGTTTGTACGTCCGACTTCTGCTTTTTAGGTTGACGTGACAGAGGACCGTTATTGTCAGCGCATTTGTACATAAGTCATCATGTTTTTTCATGACATCTAAAAATATACACAGTACGTCTTTTCCAGGTTGTTTTTCTAGACCCGTGGCCATGCAGCCGATGCTCGTCTGCGGGTTAAGAGCTGCGGTCCGAGTTCGGGGTATTGAATGTTTTAACAATGGAGGGGTTTGTGCTTATCATAGGGGTAGGCCGCTATGATTTATTATTGTTCCCGTTCCCGCACAGGCTTATCGATCCTTGGTCCCGCCGGTCTTTGTACGGCTGGCCGTCTTTTCAAATGCATTGGTATTTTAAAATATCGTAGAATTATTAGCGCATTCCTAGGTGGGTGTTGTCTCCGTAACGGTGTTTAGTGATCTTAACGTTGTCTGTTTTGCCCCGTAGCTATGACAATCATGTTTTCAAGTCTCGGGATGGGGACACGGACATTGGTGCTTCACTGAATACCTGAGCAGATAATTACCCAAGACCGTTTGTAGTTGGTAGTGAGTTGCGCACAATCCGCCTTTTGCTGTTTTCTCACGGGTCGTCCTAGAGGCCGCAAGTCCATCCCTGCGTGCTTTACGAAAGTGTGTACTGTCTTATTAAGACTTGTCGCCATTTGGCGGATGCATTTTGGCGCCACCATTGCGTCCCCTGGAAGACTAGGTCTGACATATCAAGCTTGTCGAGGTGCATTGGCAGCGAGATGCCCGATCTCCAGTGTCGTAACCCTGTATTTTACTAGGATTGTAATCACGCTGGAAGTCTTCGTTCCCGTCTGGACGGATATCGTCGTGATTTATATCGTTCTCCTACGAGACTTGGTAGGACCGCTACCGCATGGATTAAACTCTGGCCTGAACTCATTGTAGGCATCCATGTGAAACTTGAGCCTCCTCCGTCGTGTCATCAGGTAATCTGTAATTCACAATTGCCTCATGCTGATCTCAGAACCTCGGGGACCAAACCTCTCACGTCACGGAAGGGTTGTGTGGGGGGAAGGGGGGTTATTCTGTAAGTCGGCAGTACCTAGCGTGGCGTGTGTAACTACTCGTGAGATTTACTTCGCTCCTAAGTAGGCCGGTGTCCTGACCACTGTAGTCCAAAAGATGGCACGTCCCGTAACTCAGTCCTCTATTGACCCCGAAACCACTAGACCCGTAGAACCAAACCGGCACCGTTCTAGGATTTGGTATCCTGAGATCCAGTCAACAAGAAGCCGAAAAACGCTTATCACAAGCTCTCGGCTGTGCTCCGGTTGGTGTGTCGATTAAGACGGCCTACATCCAAATAAATATCGCCCACTGAACGACTGTTATTTCGATAGTTCATCTTATTGTTGCTTCGGTGTCCAGCGCAGCATTCTATGGAATCCTGTTTCTGAACGCAGGAGGGATTCTCTTGAAAGCAATATTAGGATCAAGTTATCATAACAGATAGCTAGTTCATGGGTGTAGGGCAGGTACGGAGTTGGACCATAGTTGTTTAGAGTTGATTCCCGTCTGACGTAAGATGGTCCGAGAGTTTCCGGCGCAAGAAAGTTTTGAAACGCCCGAAAAAATCCGCAACTGTTCCGAGACGAGATCCGTTTGTGGAGAAGCGCAACGTTGAGCGCCGCCGAGGTCAACCAATAGCTGCGTTGTTGTGCACTTGAGCAGGCAATGTTTGTCTTACGACCGATTCTTGAACTACTAGTGGTTCCTGTTAGTCTGCACGGAAACTTGTAGAGTCACTCCTTGTGAGGACGTGGTCGAAGTGCTTAAGCCGAAATTCTGTTTGTAATGGTGCCGATCGGTCTAAACAGCGTATTCGACTGTACCTGAAACACGCACGCGATTATAGTTAGAATGTCATTACTAACGGTGTTCACCGTGTGCTTCACACCAGGGTTGGGTATGGAGCAGTTTATGGAGATACTAGAATTTCGCTGCATCCACCGCATTCCCTCCCTCACCCACTTGGGTCAGGTGTCAAGGCAGTCAAGACGACCGGAGGTCGGATCAAACGCATTGACCGGCAAAGCTAAATAGCCCGCCTACGTGTGCCATGCGCACCTCGACCAAGACTTCACATACAGGAAAGAGGGGGGAGGGGGCTCACATCCCAGTTGAACGAAAATAGCATAAAGGTCATATTCAGAAACAGCCATCACAGCCTAGTTCTCCGTTCTGAAAGTAGGATCTAGTTGGCAGCCTTCCAAGCCATGAGGAGGAGGAGGAGGAGGTCATTGACTGCGGCAGGAGGCGGTTTTGATGGTGGTGATTTTAGTGGTGGTTGTGGTGGTGGTGGTCGTCGTCGTAGGCTTGTTGATGGGTTGGTGCAGGTGTGACGACGGGGCATTTGCGGAGGCAGCAGGTTGCTGTAGAATTATATCGGGAGTTGTCTGACGATACCGATCCGCGAGCGAAGTGTTCGTTGACAGTATGGGCATGTTGGCAGGGGTTGGATGTTGATGTTGTGGATCAGACGCGTTTGAGACTTGCGGGCTGCTCTTTTGGCTTTGGTTGAGGCGATCCGGTTGGTTTCGCAGCTTGCTGCTCCTGCCTTCACTGCTTTTTTCTAAGCCAGTGATCCTAGGTGAGGTCCTCCTAGGTTTCCTGGTTAGTTTGCAGTTGATTAAGAGGGTGTCCTTGTCGCATCGCTTTTGACCGCCTTGTCGTGCTGTATCCGTTGCGACATAGAAGAGTCGCTTGGGTAGACGCTCGTCATCCATTCTCGCGAGGTGACCGCTCCAACACAGCTGAATTTGCCTCAACATGGCGAGACGGTGAGGATTCCGGTTTTTCCGAGGACTTCTTTTTTCAAAATCTTGTCTCGTTACCTTAGCCTTCGGTATTATCCGGAGACAGCTGAGGTGGAAGTGCTTGAGTTTCAACACTTCTTCTTCATAGACTGTCCAGGGCTCCGTTTCATACAGCAGTGTTGCTATGGTGACGGCCTCTAACATTTGGAGCTTATTGTTGAGGTGGGGATTATGAAGATTCCAGACGGAGGCCTGCAACTGACCGAAGACTTGGTTAACTCTCCAGCTCAAATGAGCAAATTAATCGTCAACTTTAACGCCGTTTAAGAGTGTAAGGTCTAAATAGCTGAAATCGTTGATTTTTTAAAGCTTGATGGCGTTAACAATGATGCGGCGGTCATTTTATTCAGGGTTTGGCGATGGCTGGTGCATGATTGCCGTTTCATCCCTATTGATGGTCAATTTGCGCAACCGGAGACGAAAATATTCACGCGCTGTTGCACAACCGGCTCTGTCGCGATGTTGAGCACGCAGTCGTCCATAAAGAACAGGTCATGGACTGTAGTCGTGGATAGGCGCGTTGTAGTCTGAATGCGTCGGGTATTGACAGGCTGACCGTCGGCTCGGTGGGCGACGTTGATCCCGGAGTGCTAATCATGGAAGACGTCCGTGAGGATGGTGGAGAACAGGATAGTGAGTAGGGCGGGAGCGAGTACGCAGCGTAGTTGCATTCGATTGGTCACTGCGAAAACTTCTGATACTGTCGCGTTGCCCGATGCGTGCGCCAACAGCGCCTTCTGAATCTTACATGAGTCCTCCTCAGCCTGAGTGTTTGATAGCATCCTGTGCAAATGTCGTCTATCCAGGTTAGTATGTCCCTCGCCATCCCGTATTGCCGAAAAGTATAAAACAACCAAAGGTTTAGATTACAGTTCACAACATTGCTCTGGCCCGTAGCAATGGCGACGAATTTTGCGTCTTAATTCATCTCAACGAGAAGATTCTTTTCCTTAGGGAACACGTTAGACATTCAAGGAAGTCTTCAGCGAAAGAGTGTTGAACAGGAGAAGATTGGGCTTCATAAACATATGTTATGCGCATTGGCCTGTATATGTCAGTACATGTACTGCGCTGGTCGTTGTGAATCGGCCATAAGCTCTCCAGCGCTACGAAGAGTTCTACGTCATTATTTTTCCGTGCTTTTGGCGCACGCTGTTAGGATTCGTTGTTAATTTTAGGTTCATACTTGCTTATTGCAATCAGTTTATTCCTCATGGCATCTTCTGCTTGCTGTGACTGTACCAGTATTTCTGGTACGAAGGTAATTTTGGCTAAAATGTGTATCGACTTAGTGATATTTTCCGTATCCCCACTTTTCAAATCAACGACTATGTCCGTTTTCTCTAGCTTTTGCTTCTGCCACATATTGTCTGCATAATTTGGTCGATTTGCTCATCCCTGTCTTTAAATTTTTGGCTATGGCGTCATGGCTATTTTAGATGAAACTATGCAACGGGGTATAATCTATGGACCATGTAACGTTCCAGTTGACATCCCACTTTCATTGAGAGCATTTTGTCAGCCTCTTACGATTTTTCGCTTTGAGTTGTGGCGAAGAATTTTCATCAGGCATTCAGTAGAATATTCCTCGTCCACATCTGATTGATGTGTAGGGAGTATTCTCAAAAGAGTGTGCTATGGCTACTCTCGTTATGAGGTGCTTCCGAGCCAATTTGGTCAGCACGAATCAGACCTTCCGTAGAAATGACATCAAAGGGATTCGTCCTTCGTCCCTTTTGCCTTCTCATTGGTAAAGAGCATACTGCATAAAATAGGGACTCCGACATCAGAATCTGAAAAGGATACCGGTTAAGTCAATAGGCGATCCTAGGAACTTTGTAGGTGCAACATCGCGGGCTTACTTCTGCGGGCGTTTGCCACCTTCTGTAACGGCTAAAAAGTCTCTCAGACATGTTACATTCTTCTGTAGGACGAAAAAGTGAGTGCAGTCAGTGAGCCAGGCACGCAGGCCTTCATAATGAGCTTCCAGGTCGACATGACGATTGATGCTTGTCGTGTTAGGGTGTCAGGCTTCGAGGAATTTTCGAGCCCGTTTGGTGTTTGTCATGGCAACAACTTCAATACCTTCCCAATTGAAGCGACGGTCGCATTCAAGGGAGTGCGCAGACACGAGTGACAAAGGGTCACTTCGGCGAATGGCTAGTTTATGTTCGTTTGTACGCGTCCCAATTCGTCGGCTTGTATAACCAACATAATCACAAGGGCAGTTAGCACACGGTATGCAGCATATGACGTTAGTTTTCGGCACCTTGGGTATGGGGTAGAGAGCGGAATTTCCGTAGTTTTGGTCACTCGTTAGAACCAACGCCTTGTGCTTATCTCTGACGTCTGAGACAGTTTTTCACAATGCTGACCGGCTATCCATTGAGCCGGAATAATTGATATAAGAAAGCGAGTTCTTTTTTAAGTAGATCATTGCCCACAAGCCGGCGTCCTCCCTGCGCGCAACGCTATCCCGAGTAAAAGACCTCATACCCAAAGTGCAGAAAACCAATGTCATCTACCGCATACCAACCCCGAGGTATGGAACGCCTGGGGCTCGAACTCGCGACCTGTGAGTTAGAATTCCAACGCCTCTAACCACTGAGCCACAGGCTCATTGTCCCGGAAATATATGTCCTGGACATATATATATATATATGTATAATAAGGAAGTAAGAAGTCCTCTGGGGTGGATAGTTCAATCGTCTGACTTTTCACACACGCATTTTTAAGAATCATCCGAGATAAACTAAAAAGATAGAAATAACTATTTTCTTTCTCACTCTTGATGGGTCCACCACTCCTATCTCACTGTACCTCCCTTCGCGCACAAGCAGTGTTTGACGGTCTCGCATGGTGCAGTAGGTTGGTCCTACGGTTGATCGATTTGGCGTCAGGTTGCCAGGCTTTGATCTTATCTCTCGCCAGCTCGCTTTCGATTGGACCATTTACTTGTGCACTGTCAACATCAAACTGATGATTATTTCGAGGACTGTGAATGACGATATGCGATCGCATACTTTTTGCCTTACCGCTAAAGCATGCTTATTCATATGTGATCTTAGTCGTTTGTTGATCATGTCGCAGTAGTTGGTCGGGCAATTTACACAGTTGACACGGCAAACAACTGACGTCCTGTCCTCAGGAGGTAGCCCTCCCTTGAGCTGCATATGCAAGTGGCGAATAGTGATCTTCGGCAGGCGTCCAAGACCCGCCTTGAGTGGCCTTAGCATGGTTTCCGGGCTTCGGAGGCGTCCATCACGCAAAGCAGTATACAGGCGATTTCGGGTTCATGCTTTCACCTACTGTCGGTCTTCTTGTGCCCTTGGCATAAGCGTTTTTTGAAGCTACGCGGATATCCACTGGAGAGGAGGAGATGTCTTAGGGAATCGCACTCTCGCAGCTTCTCGAACTCTGTGCTGCACTGTGGTTCGATGCGTAGAAAGGTGTCCGGACGTAGCCGCGTTTATGAAACGGATGGTGGCTGCCGTTTTAATAAAAGATTTTCGTCGTGTTTGTCGCTCTCTGAAAGAGGCTAGTTTGAAAGGGTTCCGTCCTTCTGTCTCGATACCTGGACATCAAGGAAAGAAATTTCTCCATTGTAAATTGAATTTAGGAGTAGATGGAGTCTAATCCCCTTTTAAATGTCTCTTTCGCGTCCTGGAGCAAGATGACAAAGGTGTCGTCCACGTAGCGCATCCTGAATTACCCAAGTTTCTAGTTTTCTCAGCATTGCCTCAGTCACGTATCCGAAGACTAAGGATCCCATTCAGTGCTCCATGGATCTGCTCGTAAATATGAGCGTTAGACATGAAGTATGTGTTTAAGCAGTTTGACAGTAGCTCCCTCGTGTGCTTCCTTTTAAGGGTTTGTCTCTTCATCGCACCCTCTCGTCCCTAGGTTGCTGACGGCTAATCCTTTAGGAACGGGGTGAACAGAAAGACGACCTCAGAGGATACCATTATTTCGTGGGGGGCTATTGTGACGACACCGGGTTTTTCCAACAAGGTTTCTTCAAAATCCAAACCGTAAGTCGGTATCCTTCACAGCAGCACGACTGACCATAAAGGAGCGTTAGCCTGCGGATTTTTGGCAAAAAATAGAAGCGTGCTGTGGCTAAATCTCGTGGTTTCGTGTGTCATCAATCATTTTCAGATAACGCCTTTTAGTTCCTCATCTAATTCGGGCTCCTGTTGATCTTGCCTACCAATGTTTTCATGGGATAAGGGCCGATGGCTTTATAGGTCTGGCTATCGTTTAGTCGCTAGTGAGCCTTCGTGACGTGCTCTGAACTGCCCAAGTCTACGATTACCCGTCCTTCGTCAGTTGAGACAATTACACTTTTACCGGCCCTCTTTAGTTACTGAATGATCTGTAGCTCGGTTGAGATGGCTCGGGGTAGTATGTGGGATATGGAAAGTATGAGGCTTGCCAACGAATATAGCCCGTGGAGTCGTCCGTGGTCTTCATTTTTGAAAGCGTCGCTTCTAATGCAGCGATAAAATCCACCGGGCGCGCATCTGTTATGTTGTAGCCTGATTCGTTTTGACGTAATTTAATATGATCGTTCCTCGGCTATTTGGATGGCATGTTGTGGACGAACGATGGCTCGGATGCTGTTTCTTGTGCTCACTTTAGACCACTGAGTTTGTTCAGGAGTTGGTTCCTCTTCTTCTCTTGCTGCCCGTTCATCTTAATCGACATCCATCTCTGCAGGTTTCTCAGTGTTTCATTCTCGAGGTACGATGCACATGCAGTTTTGTCCTTTCGACTTCTCTGCCACATTTTCTCAGGCAAATGTGGAACAGCGTCCAAAATAACAGTCTGACTTTGACAGTTCGTAAGTACTCGGCTAGGTCGAAAGCAAAGTGGCGAGATAGATAATCGAAGCCTGACAGTCTGGCCCA